TGTTTTGTGTTTGTTGTAAAAATAAAAAAAACATTATAAAAAAAAAAAAAAAGAAATCAACCATTAAATTAATACTGAACAAGCTCCCCCAAACAATGTCACCTACATCATGCTTATATTTTTACCTGGTTGAGATTAACACAGACATCTACTGCATCCTTTGGTCTGTTACATTTCAGAAAGGCAGCTACAGCTTGTTCACACATTCCCACAGTAACAAACTTATGGCTTATGTCCTAAAAGATATGGAAAAGTATCAGTAAATCCTAGAACAGTAGCAGCGTACAGTAGCAAAACTCCTTAATTTCTAACAACTTGACTGTGGCATGTGCTGACAAAGAGCCTCATTTGGCACATGATGAATATAAAACATGATATACTGGTAACCAAGGTTAATCAGGGAAATTATTATTACCATCTTTTCCAGTGTTTTATTGTTCATACTTTTGATATATACAGTATAAAGTTTAAAAAGTACATCAAGTTACATAAACATATCAAGTTATATAAAGTGCTAACCTATGATATGCTGCTTTTGCTTTATAGTATACATAGAGTCATTTCACAATCACAGCCCCTTTGGGTATTCAGTCTTAAAAATACGTTAAGATTACGCCTGAGGTTAGTTTTGTCCTAAAGATCATATATGATAAAAAAATATTGTTTTTAAAGTTTATTGGATGATATGTTTTTTTTTTTTACTAGATTTTCCTTTCAACATGAAGAACAACCTGGTTTTTAAATTTTCCATTTATGTCTTCAGTATTGTTACCCTCAGTAGAATCAGACCACTGGTAGTGGAAGTGAGATTTTTTTTAGAAAAACTTGCTCAAATCAGCAAAATACAGAATAAAATGATATACACATATACCCAGAAGCAAATATCCCAGAACTCAATCAACATCCTTCAATATAAGCATCTTACAGTGACTAATCCCAATAAGCAGCTTTTTTAACTCACTGGAAGCAACTTGTTATTTTCTGGAAGTGAGTTAGCCAAATTTTCTAATGCTTGATAGTCTTCCAGCATATAATAACACTCAGCCAAACGTTCATGGTTTCTGCCTTGTACAAAATAGGGAACTGCATTCGCCCTACAAAGGAGAAAAACAATTGTAAATCCCTGATGATTTGTGAATATTGTTACCTTGTTATGTATACTCAGGGTATAATCAAGTAAAGGCATGATTTCTGAAAAAAATGTCATTACTTATAATTCTGTATTGTCAATGCTTTAAGCGAACTGATTTTGCACTAGAGACATTTTATGCTTCAGTTATCACAAAAGAATAATTCTCTATTTTCCTGCAATTAATTACTTTAATTAAAATTACAATCAGAGAAATACATGTATTGTTCCATTTTCATCCTTTGCATCACAAAATGCAAAGATGCTCCTATCTGAGTAAGTTGCAAACATAATTGGTTACAGTTGCAAGTTACAAGCATACCATTTCTGTCTATCTGCAAAGTACTCTCCAATTTCATTGTGTGCTTGTTCAAGAAGGTTATCATCTCCATGGCCTGAGCCTGTTTGCAACAGCTGCACTACTCGAAACCCGTTTCCTAGTTTCATTCGTAGGTCAACTGCAAGATCTCTGTAAATATGACAAATATGCAACTTTAGCAAACAAAAACAACGCTATTTACGCTTTGCTAGGTAGCAAAAGAACAGAGTAGTGATTCAAATCCCATCTCAACATGGTCTTGGGCAAGTGATTTCCTCGGTCTTGGCACCATTTGCAATAATACTGGCCTGCTTTACATAGGCCAGTTTTAAAAATTATTGGATTATGGTTACAAGTGCTCTGAACTTTCTAAAGCTATGTCATTCATGTATATATATGTAACAGCTATTGCTATACAAAATATTCAGTTTTAAAGAATGAAGATGATGATCAATGGGCGCAAATTACAAAAATGAAAAATGAAAAAAAAAGAAAAAATGTGGAGCTGTTGCGCCATAAGCTCCTCCTGTTCTGTACATGAATCATGATGTCACACACATGTACAAAAGGGGCAGACCCTGCAGTGGAACAACATAATGCTGCTTTTGTTACTGAGATGTATCTGGACACCTCTGAAAATAACTTTATGTCAAACAAAAATTTGAATACTATAAACTTAAATTAGTTAGTTTGACATATCTCAAATCCTCCTCCATGCTTCATGCTCTTATTTGTCTTTCTAAGGAGTCCAGTTTAGGAAATGCAATTTATGTTTGTGTGCACACACACTTTTAAATTAATTAGTTTAAAATGAACATGCCTTCCTACCATCAAATGCTTTTGATTTTTCTTTGTAATTTAAATTTATCTAGTGCAATTACCTTCTATCCATGTCCAAATACATTCTTTCAGCTTCTTCAAATTTTCCAAAATAAACTGCCACTTCAGCTTGCCTAAGTGATTCACTCTGGAGATTGCGAAGGCGCTTTACAAACTTAATACCTTGATAATTTTTATAACGTACAAAAGCTTGCTCAGCAGTGTGAAGATCAAGTTTTTGGAGAGCTGTTTCAGCCAGTAGACGCCTGTATAAAGTACATGTATTTTATGTCTACATAGATATCATCTTTATTAGGAATAATATATAAATTGGTTCTGTTACAGAATATACGGAAATCAGACTTAAGTCAGATACAATTTCAAAGGCTCATAAGTATTTCCTGGTTCAATACTGTTATCATGAATAGGCTATAGAAGAGGAATGTGTAGAGCTTTGATCTGGAAGCAATTTGATCAACTGACTCCTTCATCTCAAATCTTTAAATTGATTCAATGTGGCAAAATGATTTAATTACTTTGAAAGTGATTCAGCATGCACACACACCTTTCAATCAACTATTTGAACTGACAGCTCAAATCACATTTAGCCATATTCGCACATCCCTACTGTAGAATCCTTGCCATTCCTTCATTAGGAGATTCTCCAAAATCTTATCACAGTATTCCATGAAAAGCTTCAATGTAATATTTCTAACTTTTTTAGTTGAGGTCTGCCTCTAGAGATATTAAAGCTAACTGACAAACCTGAAAAAAGAGTGGCTGCTTTAATGAGTAATTAAGAAGTGTTGTTTGAAGCATGTACAGTCCTACTAAGTTTATCCTTCAAAGTCACAAAACTGTAAGAAAGGGATGTTCTAGTCCCAGTTTTCACCTCTGAACTTGGTACCCTTTCTTTTGTTTATTCTCTTTTTCTTTTTAACTAGGATA